TGTTTGGGAAAAAATATGAGGAGCAGAGCTATGTTCTGACAATACAGTATAATGCTAATCAAAATAAGACAATCACATTTGGTTCAATCGTTTGGGTAGAGGTTGATGGCAAGCATATTGTGCGGAGCCCTATAGCCGTTGCACCAATGATTGAAGTATGTTGTGGTTAAGCATCCTTTGTTGTAGTCTATGTTCATTATATTTAAATATGATTTATGTCATATTTATTGCTTTGGAAAGAAAAATTGCTATAAAATCTCTTTATTCTTAAGTTACAGTTTCACAGCATTCTCTTCGCAGCCCATTTCCACGGCAACTTCAAATTTCACCTTTGATCTTCTTGCAATCTTTTGCGTTTCTTTTCTTTCTCACTTAGATCAACATGGGTGCAACATTTTAATTTCGATATTTCAATCTTTTATTGTGCCTTCTAATATTCCAAAACAAGAAAAAGATACTTCAAGTTCAAAAATTCTAACTATTTTCAACTTTATGGTGCCTTCGCGTCTAGTTGGATCGTGGGCAATTCTTCCCTACAAGGAGCATGAACCACAATTGTGCCGAACTATAAAGCTATTACCAGACTGGAAGGATTGGTGCAACAACAATTGGATTAGAAAGCTATTGCCAGGCTGAAATGGCAAGCATAACAGTCTCCTTCAGTGCTAATATTTCCGAACAAAAAAGCAAAGAAAATTTTAGAGAACGACCTTTTTCCACATCTAAAATTATAATGTCCTAGCTTTTATAGGATTGGTCTTATCATTAAACTTATATCTGGATAACTCTTTCGCATCAAAGAAATGTTATTTGAAAGAGATTTTGAGTGTCCAGAATATTTGCAAACAGAAATGGTCAAGGTAAGATTAAAATAACGAGCAAGTGACCATTTCTGCTGTTGATAACGTTAGTTGTTTCGATTGGTTTGATGGGATATGATCGAGAACAATTTACGATTTATGTCCTTTTTATTGCTGTGGAAAGGAATTAGCCAAAAAGGAATTCCGTTGTCAGTGAGGAATCGATATAAATCTTCATATTCTTCTACCCTGTCTGCACAAAAGTCTCTACGCAAGCCACATCTTTGCGTGGACGCAACTTATATTTACCATATCTTTACTTGTGGACGCAACTTATGTTTACCATTTCTATACTAATTCCTTTTTGTTTCTTTTCTTTCCATCTTACCTCAGCATGTATCGTATCGTGCTTGAAGCTTTATTGACACTATTCTCATAAAATTCCTAGATTGAATTACAAAAGTACTTTATTTTATAAAACTTTAGAACGTTAAATTGTCTTAGTGGACAGTTGACCTCTTTCACCTGTTATGATAGACTCGTGAGCATGGAAGTTTATGGTCTCAAAAAATTATTTGTTACGTATGTATTGTTTTAGGAGTGCAAATGAGCTTGAATAAGTAACTCGTGAGTTTATTCAATCAAAGTTCGAGCTCAAATTCACGTTGATCGAATTCAAAATCAAGTTCGAACGATTCGAACTACTTGATTGAACTCGACTCATCAAGTTTCACATATATATGTTTTTATTAATTTTTTATTTATTAATATAAAATATCTATTTTATTTTTTATTTAAAATTATATAAAATATAAATTTATTTATTTTTTTAAATTTTGATTAGGCTCGATTAAACTCAATTGAGTTTGAATTAAGTTCAATTGGGCTCGATCAGCACCAGTTTGAATAATGCAAAACAAAATTGAGTGCGAATTTAAACTCGACTTTCAAGAGCTCGAGTTTGAATCCAAGTTTTTTTTACTCAAGTTGAGTTCGAGTAATGTCTTACTCGATCTCAATTCGACTCGATTGCACGCATCAGAGAGAGCCAACAGTCCCTCAAATTAATATGGGCTAATCTATTCAAATATATGTTTGTGCCTACTAGCCATTTGACAAACCCTCGATCAAGACAATCAACCAACGTCAAATGTGCGGGCTTTGGGTTTTGTCATTACCACTATTCAAATTGACCCACGAAACCCAACAATTTTGCATATATTGTAGGATTGAGGCATTTCATAAACCCCATAAAAAGCAACCCAACAAAAGAAAGAAGTACTATAATACATTTGAAATATGGCGAGACAGGAAAAAAAACGACAAAATACAGAAGCAACCAAAAAAAAAAGTTATAGTTGTCCAATGTTCGGGTCTTCCTTCAGTAGGATTTAATAGGAGGGCAGATCATGTAGGTTTTAAAGCAATCTCCAGCTGCAAAGTTAGAAACGCCTCAAAACCACAGCAAATTTCTTTAAACTGCAGACCTAAAAGGGCTACAACAACGAAAAAGCATCCAAATATTGAGCATATTATTATTAGGAGGGCAGAGATGCTTGGAATGTATATGCGACCAAGTCAAGTCATACTTATTCATGCAGATAATTGTGAAACAAACAGATACAACTAATGAAAGTTGTTATGTCATATTTATTCCTTAGCAAAGAAAAATTGCTATAAAATCTCCACATTCTTCAGTTACGTTTTCACATCATTCTCTTCGCAACTCATGTCCATGGCAACTGCAAACTTGGCCTGGGTTCTTCTTTCAATCTGTCGTGTTTCTTTTCTTTCTCACTCTAATCAACATAGATGTAATGTAAGTAAGATCTGCAAATGCGTCATTAGATGTTACATACATACATATAAATATAAATATAAATATATATATATATATATTATTTAGGCAGCTTAATTTATCATGATATATTCCTAAATTAAACGAAAAAATTACTTGGAGTTTTTAAATTAACGTCACATTTTGTTTTAACTTGATTACATTAATAGTGGCACATTACTTTGGCAATAACCATCTCTTTTATCCTCTCTTCCAAAAAAATGAACCTTTTATATATCATTAGGTGTGACAAATTATACATAATACATGAGCTTCGCTTCCCGGCAAACAAGCCTCGTAGCAGGAATGAGTTTGGTGACCCAAGAAACGGATGCGATCCACGGGATCGAGGTTGATGGTGTGCTCGATTGATGCTGCTGTGGCAAAACCTGTTATAAGGATGCTGGGGAATGCATTAAGGCTTGCTTTGATGTCCTTTGGCATTACCATGTCTAAAGATGCTAACATTCTTGGATCCGTTTGGAAGGCGTGTTTTTTGAGTGTTTGAAAATTATTTCTTGTTGCAACGATCGATTTGATGCCCGTAATAATATGAAAAATGAGTAACTCTTCTTCTTACCTTCGACACATCGTTAAGAAGTCCTAGAAATGATTTCGAATATATTGAGATAATAAAATTTGTCACCTGAATTCGGAGATCAGCAGTCTCCCTCCCAACATTATTGATTATTGTGCACTGAAATATTTAAATATTACGCCTACAACACCAGTTTGCCAAACCCAAATATAAAATGTATTTTTTTTTTTTTTTTTTTGTCGACACTGAGGTGTCCGGGTCAAGACCAGAAGGCGGCCCGACTAATCCCCAGCGGCCCGGGAGGAGAGGCCCCATCCCCCCAAGCACGGTAACCCTGCACGACTCGAACCCCTGGCAAGCGCTCCTAAGGAGGCGTGCGCTGCCAGATGAGCTGCCCAGGAGGGGCCCCAAATATAAAATGTATGCTCAGGTATGACTTCCAGAATTTCCCATTTGAATAGTATCATAATGCAGAGCTTGAAAAAAGGGATAATTTCAGAAGCCTCACCCAAGGTTTCTTATAATACCATTCAGCTCTCCTGAAGTTTTTAAAATCTCACATACCTTCCTTAAATTGATATTTTTTTTGTAACATTTTAACCCCTTTGGAGAAAATACAAGAAAGATAAAACTTTTTGTTCCAATACTACCCTTATATTATCCTACTTATGAAATTTATAACAACAATAAAAGAATAAAATAAGGCTAAATTTTTATAAGGTGTAAATTTCTTGACATAAACTATATATTTTAGTTGTATTGGAACAAAAGCAAAATTTACACTTTGAAAAATTCATACATATGAAGGGATTTTTTTAGTTTTCAATATAACTTAAACTACACCATGAATTAAAACACATTTCCCCAAAAAGTATCTTGACTTCCTTAATTGTAATTGTGCACAAAATTTTTTGAGGTGTTAATTACTCTCTAAAATCCTCCTAAATGGTTAATCTTGATTAGATTTAATTTATTCATACCATTTGCTATTCCACCATAACGTCAATGTAAGAAAATATGGACCATTATTAGCTAGCAATTTGTTTTTGTAATTTACATTTTTCGCCTTTTAAAATTTTATTTTGTTTTGGTTTTTTGATTAAATAGTTATTAAGAGCAAGGGTAATTTTGTGAATTTGTGACCTTTGATAAGAACATTTAGTCTTGTCAAGCTGACAAGGGAGGTAAGTGAAATTTTAAAAAATTGAGCGAACCTGAGTAATATTATGGCAAACCTCAGGGGAGGTTTCTGAAATTATCCCTTGAAAAAATATTCAACTCCCTTGCGCCAAAAAGAGAAAAAACCAATCCCATAACCTTCAAGGAGCAATCAATAGACATGCAGCTTTGAGAAGTTTAACCTAATATCTGGTGATTATTAATCAAAAGAAACTAATAATGTGTCGGTTCCCCTTTTGATTTGGGTTCAATGCTCTATCTTTGTTCTGTCCTTCCTCTATCAAGTTAACTTGATACTGTTTCTTTCTAGGCCTTCCCAAATAAACCTCAGAAAAATATCATACCTACTACAAAGTCTAATCTGGATGTAATTGCGAACACCCCTTTTTCTATCTATCCTAATTGACACAATATTGGGAAAAATAACTTCAGTATTTTCCTTTGCTTGCCGGCCTGGCGTAGCTTGCTTATTAGTATTACTGTGTTATACGAATTCTCTTGCGAGAAAATTGCAGCCTAGTTAACTCTTATAATCTTGGCAGAGCATGTAGACCCCCCGCCCCAAAAAAAAAAAAAAAAACCCGTTTCTGGCTATCATATGGGACATTGAAGGGACGAAGCCGTACAAAAGCTATAGCTGCGCGAAAGATCAAAAGCAATGCATTTGGATTCCTCAATCTTTTATTGTGCCTTCTGATTTTTCTTAGCAAGAAAGGGGTACTTCTACTTCAAATTAAAATTCCAACTACTTTCAACTTTATGGTGCCTTCGCGTCTGGTTGGACCTCGGGCAATTCTTCCCTAGTAATGAGCATGAACCACAACGACACTGAACCAGAAAGCCATTACCAGACTGGAATGATTGGTGCAACAACAATTGGACTCCTTACAATATGCTTACCATTGACCTCAACCCAAATAACTGAACCAAATGTCACGGTCTTATTTTGGTTAGCCTTGTACTTTATTTTGAGAGAATAGCTTTGCTTGTCGTATTTTTGGCCAAACACCAATGTGTCTGGGTAGACGGTAACCCCTGAACCCTTTGGTGCTGTTACTTGAACCTTGTATGTTGCTGCCCCATCTCCAACATTTGTGACTATCCTTTTGAACTTTTTAGCCAACGCATTCTTAGTCTTGTTAGGATACAAGGCAATGAATGATGGATAATTCAAATCAGAAGACGTTTTTGAGCAGTTGTAGCTGGATCTTGTGATTGTTTGGATTTGTTTCTGGGTGTAATTCATGGAGCAGAGAATAGATACGTAATCTTGTGGCGTAGCATCATATATAAGGCCTGGATCAAGTGCACTGTTGGGATTGACTTGGCCGGCACCCATGGATACAGGGGTAGCAGTTGCATAACTGAAGCCCGCATCTCGAATAGGAGTTCCAGTATTGTCAAGGGGGTTTGCCGTGGTTACCATGGCAGACCGAATAGCTGCTGGAGTCCATTCGGGGTGTGCACCTTTAAGAAGTGCAGCAATACCAGCTGCGTGAGGACAAGCCATAGATGTACCAGAAGCAAGATTAAAGTCATTGGACAACCCAATGTTTGGGCCAATTATCGAAACAGCATCATTTGGTCTCCAGGCTGCCAAAACTAATGTACCTGGTGCCATTATATCCGGTTTCAAAATTTCGGGATAGCTTGGTGAAGGACCTCTTGAGGTATATTCTGCAACAATAGGTGCTGGCTTTGTCCCCAGGAGGGTCCGTTGGAACTCCATAGAAGCGGTTGGATTAACGCCATTTACTGCATAATTAATTACTTCAGCGCCCTCACCAGGGGAAATGACGACACCAGGATATGGAAAAAGGCTATCATCATAAGTATAATCACTGGAGATGAAGATGGCAGCATCAAGAGTTGATCGGGAGACATAATACAGCTGATTATTGAACGACTCGCTGCTATCACATATGACTGTTCCAGAAGAAACTTCAGATAGCAACTTGGTGGAGTTGCAAGCAGATATTGTTTTGTTGTAGATAAGAGGTGATTCTCGGACAACGGCTCTTGCAGGGAACACGGACCATCCAGTGATGGTTAATCCATTCCCTAGAGTTAAACTTCCAGCAAACCAACGGTCCATGGAGCCAGCAGCCACTGTTAAGACCCATGGAATGCCATTATGTAATTCTCCAAGATCTGTACCAGCATTTCCTGCTGAGCTTGAAACAGTAACACCCTTTTCCATTGCACCAAAAGAGGCTATTGCAATTGGATCTTCATACAAAGGAACCAAGTCAAATCCCATTGAGATTGATATGACATCAACACCATCAGCAATGGCTTGGTCCATACCAGCAAGTACATCAGAAGCATATCGCCCTTCCTCGAAAATGACCTTATACATTGCCAACCGAGCACGAGGTGCTACCCCTCTTGCTGTCCCCAACGCATAGCCAAAAAATGAAGCACCTTCAACATAATTGCCACCGACTGTGGATGAGGTGTGCGTGCCATGGCCTTCGGTGTCCCTTGCGGAGTACATTTTCTTGGTGTTGTTCGGGTTAGCAGCCAACACTCCCTTGTTGAAGTATTTAGCTCCAATTAATTTTTTGTTGCACAGTGAGGAATTGAAATCATATCCCCCGTCACAAGCTCCTTTCCACCTTGAGGGAATTTCTGTCATCCCATCATCTCTGTAGCTCAGACTTTCTGGCCAAACGCCAGTGTCGATGACACCGACTATGACATCTTTGCCATATTCAGAAGCTGGCCATATGCCTGTCACCGGATTGAGAGAAAGGAACTCAGTAGAGTGTGTGGTATCTAGTGTAGCAACTTTGTCACTGTAAGCTGACACGAAGCCCAGTGATTTCTTAACAGCTTCCAGTTCAGATTTGGATAATGATGCACTAAAACCATGGAGCACATTCTCATACGAGTAAAGAAGCATAGAAGGATTCTGATGGAAATTTGGGCTTGTAGATTTTAGTGAATCGAGAATGCTTGAATACCAATGTTGGTGGCTAGCAAAAACCTTGGGCATGAATGACTTATCCATATGAACAATGTACGTGGACCTCTGTGCTGAGACCAAATTTACAACAAAGGCTGCGAATAGGAAGAGAAAAATCATCTCTTGAACAATGCCCATTTTCTTTTGCACGAAATGTGTGGTTCTGACAGTTTCTTCAATCAGCAAGTATATATAGAGTACAACTGTAACACTTGTTTAGCAGTATATCTTGCTTGTAATAGCTAGAAAAATTAACCCAACATATAAGAATAAAACAATGCGATCGGAGGTTCTCAAATAAGCATTAAAGTTTGGGACCGCTTTAACCTTTGTTATTTTGCCCTTGGGGCCGGACCAATTATTCAAATTGCGAAGACTGTTAACTTTATTGATGGAACTTTGTGATCAATGGCTCGATTTCTTGACCTTTGACATTTGCGTATAGGATCAATGCGAGAATTATATAACAGAAAGTAACAACAAATGGACACATTGATAAGTTACGTGCAAACAGCCTTGTCTGTTGTATTGTCTTCATAATCCAATAATGCAGCTTCAGTGTTACAAAAATTTCTTCCTTTAACTTGTTATGTTCGTTATAGCGACCTGCTAAATGTAACTGTGTTAGCAGTGGACATGCAGTACTGTTTAGATTTTTTGCAAATTGCTTTATATCCTGCTATCCTCCCAGTTCCCTCATTCTTGAATTGTACTACGTTAAGGCGGAAATCGCAGCAGAAGAGAAATTACTCGAATCTGTTGCAACTAATGGAGAATTAAACTCTGCAGCTACTAAAGAACTGAAAAATCACTTGTACAGGTTGCTTCTGCAACTCAATTCCTGTGAGCTCCCCATGTTTTCTCCTTCGAACATTAGAGGCATCTTGGTGTGACTTCACATCTAGCTATGTTTTTCTCTGGTTTGGCGGGTTTCTGAAGTCACCATCAAGCATGTTACTCTTGCAATTGCTAAACAACGAAAGAGTCCTGACTCCAGTGTTTACTTTCTGTCCTGTGACATCCTTAACACAGACGTTGCATTCTTCGAGCCGGATAATTCCAAGTCAAGACTTATCCATGAGAACACAGGAGGGCCTGAATGTTTAGTGCTTGGAATGCATGAAAAAATTATTACAGAGTATAGCATAGAAGCTGAGATCAAGACCCGCTGTAAGACGCCGTCCGTGAAACTTGTGTTGGATGAAATTTCATGGCTTTGAATGAACAATATCTGCAGTTGATCGTTGGATAAGGGTTGCAAAATCTACCAAGGTGTCCTGGAAATTTTTATGAACTGGCATAATTGATTATGAAATTAACGGGTCTCCAATGATCATCAAATCAAAAGACAGACATATGCAACGATCAATTTCAACTTGGTCCTAGCGAATGTTGAAAAGAGGATAATCTATACATGTGACACTCGTTGTACAACGTACAACGAGAGAAATTTTTGAACATGGGAACAACCATAAATGAAGACTAAAGACTAATACCATAAATGAAGACTAAAGACTAAGGAGGTTGCGTTTTAGACTCACTAATCCGGCTTAGTCAAAGACAAAGGGAATCAACTTATCCTCTAAATCAATTACAACCCAATAAATGAAAAGGGATTTACTAAAACCAGCATCACTCTGCATTGACAGCTGGGGAAATCGCCTTCTATTCTTAGCTGCTATAAATTTATTGATTTCAGATGGGGTATTGCAGCAATTAAATAAACAATGCTGCAGTTTTGTATTTGGGTTAAGTTCGGTTCATATATAATGATGTACATTTAAATTCATTCCAGCAACTGAGACTATTATAATATGGAGATCATAGGCAATCTTTTAATTTGCTTACAGCTTCAGAATAAATTCATATCATGATAATATTAATGTGACAATAACCGGAGTGACATTCAACCATCCAGGACCTATACATCGATTACGACTTGGAACCTAACAGTTAATAAATACAGACTGCCTTGAGACGTTAATGATTGCAGCCTGTAACTTCTTTTGTACTCATTTTTTTGGTCTTTAGGTGTAGCAATTGATTCCTTCCAACAAAAAAAAGGGTGTAGCAATTTATGGGAAAGCATTGTCTAAAGCTTACAAATTCTTTCTTTCCCCCTCCCCCTTTTTTTTTTATTTAACACTCCGCATGTATAAGTGATGAGTCCTACTCGAATGGCTGTCACCTAAGTTGATATGACAATTGAAAAGCCCTGCAAACTCCTTCGGTTCCCACCACCCAAACAAAAAAGGGGTAATTTCACAAACCTCCCATGAGGTTTGCCTTAATATCACTTAGTACCCTCATGGTTTCCAAAATATCTCTTACCTCCCTTTGATTGACATGTCTTGTAACATTGTCACCTGTTGTGCATTAAAAAATTCATAGATAAGAAGAGATAATCATTTATTTCCATTTGTACCATTTGTTATCCTTTATATAAATATTAAAATAAACCTAATAAGCAAAAGACAAATTGAAAGAGATGTAAGTGCAATAAAAAGAAGTTGCAGAAAATAAGTAATATTACAACTTTGCAATGACAAATCATCTAACTCTAGGATTATAAAGACAACAAGACAACAAAATAAAAAACACGAGTTCAACGGCGAAAGAAGCAACTTAAAGAGGAAATTAGTAGAAGATATTATTACAAATCATAACAAGTTCTACTATTAAAAGACACTTTATAATTCACCAACATCATTTAATATAAAAAATCGATATTAGTAATTACAATAAGAAGACGACAATTAGGATTTTGAAAGCGAATGAAATCCAAATAAGTTATATTTGCTTCTAATGTCCATTTGATGTATTAGGTAATAGTAATGATAGAAGTTCCCTACCTTTTATTACTATAGGATAAAAAAAGTCACAATTATAAACGATAATTTTGTTAATTATTGTCCTGATATTTTTACTTTCCAAATTCTTTTTTTGGGCAATTTTTAGTCAATCAATTAAGGATTTCCAGAAAGGTAATATTGTCCATTTATTACCCATGATAGAGAAATCTTGTCTTGTTAATTTGACAGGAGAGGTAAAAGAGATTTTTGAAACTACAAGGTGCTAACCGATACTAAGACAAATTTGAGAAGAGGTTTGTGAAATTATCCCAACAAAAAAGGGCAATGAATAATAAAAAGAAATCATAGAATTAGCTGTATTGAGAAACGACTTTAAACCAATTAAGAATAATCAATAGAAAATTGGTGTTGTATTCTTATTGGTTGGATGAAAAGAGGAGGTCATGCATATTACCAACAACATTTGAAAAGTGAAATTTGAATTTATCCCTTTCACTGATAAACCCTTGAATCTCAATTTTTTTTTTCTGTAATGTAGATAAGAAGAATGTCAAGTGGCAAAACTCATGCTCTGCACTCTAGTAAGACCTTTTTTTTTTTTTTTAAGTGTAAGGATTTGAATCAAAGTTTTTCTACATACAATCCCTCCCATTTTACCATCCGATCTAACATTCCCTTGCACTCTAGTAAGAGTTAATTTCTAATAAACAACTTGTTTTCAATAATGTGAATTTACTTAATTGTATTGAAATCTCATATGATTTTTATCATGTAATACTAAAACAGCAAGACTCCAGTATTGTCAATGCCAAACTATAATTTGCACCAACGGAAGAGGCCAAAGGTATCAAAGTTCAATAAAAGAAGGACTAATATGAGTCAGATAAAAAATTAAGGGACTAAATGTGAAATGCGTAAAAGCTGAAAAACTTGCTGCAAGTGACGAACTGATAAAGAAATGCTACTGGGAAGAGTTCAACAAAACTGTGTCGTTCGACAATTGAATCTTTTCAAAAGCCACCGCGATTCTTTTTCTACTCCTTTTTATCTGTCACCTTCTGGAAATTAGAGGTGTGAATTGTACCAAGGGAAACTACAGCTGGTGGGGCTATTAGAAATTGCGCCATCTTTTGACCGAAATGCCTTCATTTCTGTTTGATTTATTTTGGATCCTGTCTTTCTGTCCCTTGGACTTTTTTTTAATCTAGTTTTTATGTGAATATCTTCTAGTGGATGACAATCTTGATTTTTTTTCTTCGTTTTGGCCCCATTCCTTTTGTTTGGCGCTGGGCGCCTCTGGAATCTCAAAAGCTTATAAACCAACAACCTAATTTTTGTCGTCGTACAGGGTTCAAAATATACCAAAATTTAGTATAGAATTCCAGGCTATGGTACAGATACCTAAATTAACTTGAAAAATTTAGCAGCAGCAAAACCAAGAGAGGGTTGCTTTGATACCATCATAGGGAGGTTGGTGGAGTGAAATACCTGCGAAACGTTAAACGAATATGCTTTGTTTGAAGTTCAGGGAGTGAAAAGGCACGGACATTGTGGCTGCTTGAAAATTCCAGCTAAAAAAAGGAAGGCATTCTGGTACCTCCATTATTCTGGCTCCAACTCCAACACAAAAAAAAGGAAAGAAAAAAAAGAAACAAGTACTTCTAATTTCACAAATAATTTCTGATCACTTCCATCTGTTGGCGTCTTTGTTTGACATTGCCTATCTACCCTGCAGAGGATAGACCGCAGCAGATAATGCTTATTTACTACGAATCATCAGATGAAATTTTTGGTGTCACAACAATTGGACTCCTCACGCTATGCTTACCATTATCCTCAACCCAAATAACTGCACCATATGTAACTTGGTTATTTTCGTCAATCTTAGTATGTATGGTGAGGGAATAGATTCGCTTTTCATACTTTTTTCTGAATACCAATGTCTCCGGGAAGACGGTGACCACTGAACCCTCTGGTGGTGTCACTTTTGCCTTATATGTTGCTGCCCCATCTCCAACATTTGTGACAATCCTTTTAAAGTTTTGAGTTGATGCATTAGTCCCGGATGTATACAAGGAAACAAAGGAAGGATAGTTTAGATCAGATGATGCCTTAGAACAATTGTAACTGGATCTTGTTATGGTGCGAATTTGCTTCCGAGTGTAATTAATTGAGCAGAGCAATTCCATGTAGTCTTGTGCTGTAGCGTCGTATATAAGGCCAGGATCCAGTGCACTGTTCGGATTGACTTGTCCTGCTCCCATGGATAGAGGTGAAGCAATTGGGTTATTGAAGCCATTAATCTCTCGGATTGGATTTCCAGTATTGTCCAAGGGGTTTGCTGTGGTTACCATTGAAGAGCGAATAGCTGCTGGACTCCAATCTGGGTGTGCGCCTTTAAGA